CTGCACTTCCGTGGCCTCGGCGGGTGAGTACAGGGCGGGGGTTGCGCGCGGCGCCCTGAGCCGGCGCTAGGTTCCCGCCTCGGGGCGCCGTGGGGACCCGCTCGCCTTCGGGGGCGCCCCCTGGAGGATCTGGGGTCCGGGAAGGAAGAGGTGGGTGTGAGGGATCAGTGGACAGGCAGGCGCCGGCAAAATGGGCTGACAGGGAAGGTTCGTTGTTTGCTTCTTCTTAGAAACGAAATGCTCTGAAAACTGGAAATTTTCCTGTTTGGGGCGTGTGTGTGAGCTCACCCCGCCAGACCCGGCGAATGCTTAACCGTAGCATGGGCCCATGAAAAGCACGATAGTCCAGTGTAGCCGCTGCCAAAGAGTGAAATTAAAACGCATCTTGTATGGGATAAAATCCAGGATATAACGGGGTTTAAACAGTATCCAGGTCTGTCCAGTACCGGGCCCGGGCTCGGGCTGAGTCTTTTCCAGCAAGCGTACTGCGTTCAGGCAATTTGTATTTCTCACTAGAAATTGAAAGACAAGCTAGGCCAAATGCGATTTCTTGATTACCCTGCTGCAGAGTTGTGCCCTACTGCATATGCTTTCGAAAACAAAATTTTAAAAAGACATTAACTTTTCCAAGTTGATAGAAAACCAAAAGTTTCCGGAAGGTCTGTGCAGATTCTAAATCGTTTTGGGGGTCGTCCAGGATGCCCAGAAAATTCTTTTATGTAGTAAACTTCACATCATTTTTTGTTCAACGGAATAAGAATTCAAAAGAAAAACAGGAACAGTTCAGTTCTTTGAAGGCCTGTACTCCATTAGAGACAAAATAAACATGCACATAAGCATAAAAAATGGAAATCATGGCTGGAGATATTCACAGATGTCTAAAGAAAACCTGTACTTGCCCTGGCAAGTGCTGGTGAGTGCTTGAAGCATTTGCCTCTCAGCTGATTGTTGCCACGTGGGAACAATCTCCAACGCAGGCTGAAAAAGCTATATTTTTATGTGATTAAAAAAAAAAAAAAGTAATGTTATTGGCAACCAATTTACTCACACACCCTCTCTGAGCCAGGAACAGGCAGTTTGTGACTTGTGCAGATGATCCCCAGAGTATTCAGAAGTAATTGGAATTGAAAGAGGGAAACATTCCTGAAAGCTGATGGTCAGGTAAGAATTTAAGAAGTCAGTTGGATTTAAGCTGGGTCAGATAGGACAGGTGCCTGAGTGGGTGGGGGGACATAACAGGTGAGTAAAGTCTCCTTTGGGAAAGTAAGCAGAGGTAATGAGCAAACTTTCCTTAGAACAGATCTGAGAAAGCAAGTGCAGTAAATGGAAGAAAACTGGTTTGGGAAACCCTACAATGCCAGACTGGACTTTATTCTAGGTCAGTGGTTCTCAGACTTAAACATACATCAGAATCATCTGGAAGGCTTATGAAAAGAGATTGCTGGCCCCCACCTCCAGAATTTCTGATTGAGAAGATCTGGGGTGGGGCCTGAGAATTTCCCTTTCTCACCAGTTTTCAGTTAATGCTGCTGGCTTGGGACCACACTTTGAGAACCACTGTCCTGGGGTGTGGAGAACTGTTGGAGGAATTTAAGGTGAATAGTAAGATCGATCACATTCATGATTCAATATAAATCTTGCTGTGAAGTCCAAGACTGGAGACTGGAGACTGAGAGAGAAAGAAGAAGGTTCCTTACAGTTTATTAGCACTTGCTTGATGCCAGGCCCTCTGGTAGGTTCTCTCATGCACACTACTTTATTGCATAATCACTGTGACCTTGGTATGTTGGTCTTAATATTTTCACGTGGAGAGTGGTAGAGATTGCCCAGGTCTCATGGCTAGGCTAGTCTCAGAGCTCCATAAGACTAGTTCATATTTGGACTAGGGTAGTAGCAGTAGAAACGAAAACAGTTAATGGTGATGGAATTTACAGACTTCCCAAGTAGATTGAACCTAAAAGTAAAAATGGGGAAATCTGAGTCTTAACTGGAAACATGATAAAAGATAAAGTGGACAGGGAACTTGAGAATGTTCCCTGCATGAATTAGCGTGTGTTCTGTATTACTCTTATATAACAATGACCTTTTTAAAAGTTGCTTGTTTAAAAAGTCATCCTACTCTACCAAAATTTCCTGAAATTATTTGAAAAGGAGAAAGTAAAGCCATCTATGGGGGTGGTGGGAGATGCTAAATAGAGTAATGGCATCTGACAGCTTATCTTCAAATCAAAAGTGATTAGCATTGAGAAATGGAAACACATGGTATAACACTGCATTGACTGTATGAACTGTGCTGTCCCTCGGACACTGACCTAATGTATTGATTTTGGAAATCCTGTATGCTTTTACTTGCCAGAGTAGTTATTGAGATAGAAAATACTCATTGGATCAATTTCAAGACAAATATCCCAAGTCAGACTGGCTGCTGCTGAGCAAACTTTTAATGAAGGAAAACATCCATATATTGAAATCAGACTTTCAAAAGAAAGTCCTTAGAATACATATATATTTACTTTAAAATCTAGAAAAATATGTTTTCAAACATCAGTTAACTGAATAATTAGCATAATGGAGTTATTGACCCATACAAAATTATAGCATACATTCATTCATTTATTCAGTGAGCAGTAAAGTTTGATGTGGATGCAAGGATAACTCATAGTCTAGGCAAGACTGACATTTTAAAAAATGATCACAAAACAGTCTCGTCGTTGCTATAATAGAGGGATGTGACCAATATGTGGCGACAGGAGTGACAACTGAAGGGGTGTGGAAAGGAGTCCAGGGAATTGTTACAGAGGAGTAGACACTTGAGTTGATTGTTGAAGGCTGAGGAGGAATTTGTGAGATGATTAAAGGAGGGAACGGCATTCCAATCAAAAGGAACATCACGGGACAATGGCCAAGGTGTATAAAAGAATATGGCTTTTTCCAGGGCCTGTGTGCAGATCAGAATAGTTACAGCAGTGTGGTAAAAGTGGAGGAGGGAAATGAACAAAGTTGGAGAGGTGGATAAGAGTACTAAAAAGAGTATGAAATATTTATGTAATGACTGTCTTAACTGGATTGTAAACTTTGTGATGTCAGGAGCCATGTTGGACCCATATACCCTTGTATTCCAAGGCCTAGCACTGTGCCTAGCATATAGTAGGTTCTCAATAAATAGTTGCTGAGTGAATAAACTACAGATAAGGCAGAGGGAACTTTTAGAATATTTTAAGCAGAGGAGTAATATAGTCAGATTTATATTTTATGAGGATAAGTGCTAGTATGGAAAGTATGGAAGATGAATTAATAATGGCCATAGAGATGGCTGTAGTAGATTGGGGTTTTTCATTAAGGTTGTACCCATTGGTAGGTTGCAATCTACATTTAAAAACTAGAGTAGAAAAAAGAATTAGAGTGTGTCACATGTAATAGGGGTATATAATGTTTGGTGAAACGCGTTTCAGTTATATGCCTGTGTGTTGACTAAAGTGAGTGTATTTCTTGCTATGGACTGTGGTCAAAGCTTGAAAGCCATTATAGTAGAGAAATATGGGAATGAGGTTGGAGAGAAGGGAATGGATATAAAAGATATTGGGGGGGAGAAACAAATATGAATCTTAAAATGCTACTGTCCACGTGAATCTTCTTGCAGGGGAGGGGATGCACTTACCAACCCATTTCACTGTTTTTGCCCACTTGATGTTTTCATTGTATATTAACACATTGGCATTCTGCTTTATTAGGAATGCCAGTGCTTTGAGGTATCTTACTGAATGTTGTAAATGCTACAAAATTTCTCTTGTATTTTGGTAGTGCACAGCTTAAAATTATAGGATGAAACTATACTCCCAAGAATAATGGAAATATATTGAAAAGTTTGATTTGATTATTGGCCAGGTTCTTTGATTTCTTCCCATGAGAAAGCAGGAAAAGATGCCTAGTTACACAAACAGGTGGGAAGTCCTTCTCCCTTCCTCGATGATTTTTGTCACTCCAGTAGACTTAGTCTGTTGTGCCTGGGACAGATCTATAAGGCTAGAAAATTGCTGGTGCAGGCTGAGTTATATTGGCTTTTAAAAATTTTATAGACTCCTTTAAAATCTGGTTGATTGGTTAAATTAATTGTTTTAAATATGTTATGCTCTTAGTTCTATCAGGTATGACTTACTCTCTGTGGAGCAGAAAACATTAAACATTCTTTAGAAATTTGATCTGTTCTGTCACCTAATACATTATTGGGATTTCCTACTGATAAGGTTTGCACAGAAAAATGTAATTTTTCATTTCGCCTAAACAAAAAGAAGGAAGAGAGAGAGAGAAG